TCTCCTTGAAAGTGATCAGTGATAATTTTCCCAAGAAGTTAATCATGTACAGTATCACTGTCTCTTTTCTAACTCCTTTCTTCATTTTGCAGTGCATTTGATGTATTTTGTTGATTCCTGTGTATAAAGAAACATGGATTTTGTTGGTTAAAGCACCAACGACGATCAACTTTAAGTTAGAATTCAATGCAAAGTTTTGATAATCATTTTTTATGAAAGAGAAAGTTGAGCACTCGGTGTCACAACCAAACAGTTTTAGGTATATAATTGTTTTTAAAAGATTAAGCTGATTTCATAGAAGGGATTTTTTTCTAAACAAATTGTCCCAGAGTTTTGGGCATGTCTGGAAATCACATCTGGACTTTTGAACAGAAAGTTTAAGAACTCTGTAACCCAGACTAATTAACACCTTCAGGACTTTTAAAAAGTTTTTTTCCATGGGTTTGTTAGGTTTAGGGGTTTTATACGTAAAGTAAATTTCCTAAAAAGTATCCAGCTGTCAGAACAATAGCCAAATAACCATGGCTTTAATTATCATGCGAGCCATGCAAGTTTTGGTTGTTTACCGTCATGAAAATGAGCTTCAAATAGAGAACTTGCCTACTTTCAAGTAAGCTGAATTTTGAAAAAAAAAAAAAATAAATAAAGTGAAGCGAAATGTTTCCAGGAGACGCGTTTCATCTCTCTTCCCGAGGTTAAAAATGTTCCCGGAGCCAAACGATGGTGGTGGGCCTTTCCCCAGAGTTCATTAATTAGTTAATTAGTTAATTAGTCTGAGCAGATGGCTGTGCTGCACAAATCAGGGTTCTCCGTGAGCCTGGAGCGGGAGGAAGGTAGGAGAAGGTGAGGCGAGATGCGCTTCTTCAACCACAACAGTCTCCAAAAGCTCCGGGGCCTCGGCCGTGTGCAGCAGACATTTTCTTCGGATTCCACCCATTTTATCACTTTACCGCTCGGTGTATCATAAATTGATGAGAAAATCCTTTAGAGGTGATCATTTGTTAAACACATACGTGTGAGGGGATCTCGGGTGACAGCACAAAGCACTAAAGCCCAGTATATAGAAGGGAGCCTCGGTCCCAGCGCATGGAGCATTTATTCCAATGAATACTTTGCTTCGCTGCAGATTTAAAAAGCATTTCTGTAGGTTTATTTTTAGCCTGCCCCCGTCTCTCCCCTTCTGTTTCCTCTTCCCTCACTGTCTCTCTATGATTCTCCCCCGCTCATCCGTCTCTATTCCCCCGCTCTCCCTTCTTCCCGTTTACCCCTGACTCTCTATCACTCCCTTAAAGGCGCAGGCGTCGCATAAAGTGAGGCTGGCATGTGTAAGCTCCTGCGAGTGTAAGTACAGGATAATACTAAAGATTAGGACATAAAACCATTAAGATTTTGTGTACCTCTGTTTCTCGCTTTGACTCAAATGCACAGTGTCAGAGAGGAGGGATATTAAAAATTCAGATGGATGGTGCATTATTCATGTGTGTGTTTTACGCGCGGCACGCAACTAATTACGGCGCACGCACACACAAACGCACACATGCTGCTGCACATTTAGCAATTGACATGTACACAGGCCAACATGCGTGCCTATGCAACACACACTCACTAGGATAATCGCCTTAGTACAGTAACCCATTTAAAGCATATCTGAGAGTGTGAGTGAGAGGGGGAGAGCTCACAGGCGCCCACATATCGAAATTTTTAACAATCTTTACAGAATCGAGGACACTGCTTCATCCCTCATAATAACTCGGCCGGATCTACAGCCACCTCTGTATTTCTGTGCCTTGTCTCAGTTTCGATGGTCTTCCCAGGATCTGCAGGGCTGCTAACTTTGAAATGCCTGACTGCACCTTAAAGAGCTCCGGAACGAATCACAGCCCAGGTGTCAGAGTGAGTCTGTCACATTTGCACTCTGGACACAAGGTCAAGGTCCTTGCGACTGGAGCAAACGAAGAGATCGTCTCGGAGTTTTCCACTTACCAGCTGCTTCATTAGGTACACCTGGGCAATTGATGGTTGAAAGAGACATTGACTGTCACATGACAGCAACTCGATGCGTTTAGGCATCTGGAGATGACTTGCGAAGTTCAAACTATGATTGGGAATGATTAAGAAAGGTGATGTTGACTTTGGACGTGGCAGACCAGCTCTGAGCTCTCAAGTCTGCTCTAAAAAAAGTGGAAATATGCAGTAAGTTGCAGATGAGTGTGATGACGACAGAATTCAGAAGAGGCGATATCTTAAAAAGGCTAATGTGTCTCAAATGTTTACTCTTTTAGACGTTGAACCTTAATGAAGCTTGGCTACAGAAACACGAGTGACTAAGTTGGGGCGACATAGTAAAATGTCGAGATTCCTTCTTGGTTTATAAAATATTTTTTGATTATGCTCCATTGCTATTATAACAGTTCATTCAAAAGAATACCAACGAGGCAACAAGGGAATTTTTTGGGGTGACTGTTCAGTTCCAAGGAGTAGTTCCAAAACTGCCTTTTTGTGTAATGTTTCTCACACTTGAACATAATTCATTTCCATGTAAATGTTCATTAATACATATTGTTCCTTTATTAAAAATAAACCTGATCTTGATCTTAGCAGAGCATTTCTGCCTACCATGTCCTTCTGTAGTCTCCCCATCTTCTGACACACAAATCTGCAGCAGCTCAGCATTGTCACGACGAATCAAGGCAGTTCTGATGGCAAGATGGTATATAATTTGAAACAATAAACAATCCTGAAATGTCCTTTTAGAATCAAATACCCATTGAAAAAGATCAGCACATTGATATGCAGCTCCTTTCCAAGGGCTCCCAGTTTGTCCTTGTCCCCGTGCCTCTCCTTCAGCACTGTCAATAACAGTGTGGATTACGTTGCCCTCTGTTAATACTCACTGCATCTCTTGGACTCTGTCCTAAACTACTCCGGTTTCTCTGTTTATCATTATTGTGATATGTTGAAACAGGCCTGATGCAATAAACACGATCTGATTACACAACCTGGCAACAACAAAGACCACCACAAATAGTCTTTGTGCAAACACCTCCGGAAGACGATGGCGAATGTAAATACTTGACTTTCCCGATATCCGGCAGCACAGAGGACTTTGCACACGCTCAGTCGCACACTCACAGGCCGTGTCCACACAGCAAAAATAACAAAAAATAAGAATCCAGTGGAAGGAAAGATTCTAAAAGTATTTCAAATGTTTAGAAACGATTAGAGGAAATAGTTTTCTGTTGTCAAACTTATTGGGTTTCCTCCTTAGAAGGAAATACTCCCTTGCAAGACCATTCACCTTTTTATAATTTCATCAGATCAGAACAGCAAACTTTAATCTGTTTTATTGGGTTTTGTATTATATACCAACACAAGCTGTCACACAATCATAAGTGGTTTGTTTTCCCACCACTATTGTCCTATATTTAGGTCCACCTCGCTTTCCACGCAGTAATGAAAATGAGAGGTTGGTTGATGCAATGGTATTTTTGGAGCCACTCTGTAGTTCCAAGATGCCCAGTCAGCATATCTACTCAATACTCAGCACACACATGAATTCAAAGTGAAATAGTTTGGTTTCCAAATATCCAATTTAACCCAACGTTACCGACTCAGGAAATGCGCAAGCTCACATAAAAAAACAACAACAAAATAACAGGTGGGAATAAGCGGAACAATCCCCCTGAAAAGGCAGGAAGAAATCTGAACACACATAAAAGAAGCTGATGAAGGCGCATAACGAGACGCCGCTCTACAGCACAGATAATTACCACGGCGATAGACCCAGGTAAGGAGTCAACCAACTTTGTGCGACTTAAAATCCCGCATTGAACCAGACGCTATGCCATTTATCCTGGTTCATAATTCAGGTGGACTTTCTGAATTCCACTTGCAGTAGCGTGTATCTCGTGTCGGCAGTGCTGTTTGTAAAATCCTGGATAGCTTCAGTGAAATAATTAAACTCATGCTGTATGCTGCAGAAATTGGACAAGAGTTTGTCTTATTTACAGTGCTGGTTTGCAGGTTGTTCGATCCCAAAAGAGTGTTTGTGTGATTGCTACCACTGAAGAAGACCAGAAAACGAATCTACCGTCTATGTAGCAAAGTAAAATACTTAGGTAATATCTTAAGTAGTGAGCTTTGTGGAGATGATGATGATGATGATGATGATGATGATGATGATGATGATGTGGAGCGACAGTGCCTCAAGTTGTACATGCACAGTAATATGTTGTCACGTAAATTTTACATGGGCACCGATGACGATGAAGAAGCCCCTTGTCTGAGCCTTTTCTACTTCTGTTTATGCGGTAAAATTACTGGAGGTTATTGCATAAAGACTGTTTATCAAGTAAATAACATAATGGACGACTAAATGGAGCAGCAAAAGCAAGTGAGGTGGATTAGCAACACTTGCCAATGACCAATGCTGTCACCCGGGTCATGTTACTGTGGAACATTATATCTGCTGCCTGGAAATTGAGATTTAAGCACGATATGACTGTCATAAAACTACATTTATTACAGTAGCAGTCTTCAGTCAGAGGCCTCTTCAGTTTTATTGCAAGACCTACTGCTACTGGAGACCCATTCCTGCTCACTGCTTTATCATCAGCAACTCTGAAGATGGTTGTCTGATATGATACCTAGTATCTCTTTGGCATTATTAAAGAATTCTTCAATTAATTTAAGACAGCTTCCATATTCTAAAATGTGAAACCAAAAGCCACAAAGATATGTTCATAAACCCTATGATAATAGGTCAAAGAGAAACTATTGGGTCCATTTTCGACTACAAAGATGAGTTTATATTTTCCCTTTTGAAATCAATAATTTAAAGACAAATAAAATATTTATTTTCACCTTGGTGAATACACCCGAAACAGGTTGACATCAGAGGGCGGCGTTGAGTTAAAGTTTGAAGATTTACGACGCCCCGCTTCTGCCACTTCATGCCAGAGACATGGCAAATGTGGTGTGGTGTGATGCCTCAAACTCACCGAGCACGCCAAGGCGATAGTTCATGGTTACGACGATGACGTTTCCGTAGGCAGCAAGGACGCTGCCATCAAACATGTTCCCTGAGCCCTCCATGTAGGAGCCTCCGTGGATAAAGAGCATGACTGACTTCTTTCGGCGATCCCGAATATCTGCAAAATAGGGATTTTTCAAAAATAAAAAGATATGTGTTACTATTCAACAGTTTTCACATGCAAACACATGAGTATGCAATCAGCCCTCACAGTTATCCGACTCCAGAGGAGTGGTGAATAATTTTTATGATCTTTATGGGAGGGAAAAGAAGCAATCGAAAACATTTCGTCCACAATCAGAATATGAAATGAGAAAATATGGAAAAACTGACTGGTGACAAGATTCAGACGATTATTATCTGTCCTTTTTTATTGACTGAATGCTATTTGTTAATGTTTGTTACAGACTGAAGAAGAGTCAAGTTTAGTCAAGTTTAGAGGTGTTTAAAGTGAAATCAGATGAAAAATAGACAGTATCAGATGCTGTTTTTCTTTCCTCATTTTTCCAACATATTCAAGGCTGTGTTGAGACAAAACTGTGATTCATTTAGATTTTCAAACCGATATCCAAAATGTTCTGACACACGAGAGATGAAGACTTCAGCAAATCTTGAAATAGTGAGAAACCAACTTTATTTGGAGACGAACGTGTTTCCGCTTGTGGCTTCCATCAAGGCCGAAACGAACTGGTCGGCTCATTAGGCAGCTTTTTCATAATTTTCGTCCTTACCATACCCTGTGCAGAAAACATAAGGGCAGAATGAAGCAGAGCAACATTGCTGCACTTCATCCTGTTTTGGTCTTTTCTGCTTTTGTGCTGCCTGCCAATGCTAATCGCTGATAAAAGACGCTAAACCCAGTGCAGAAAGCAAAGTCTGCAATCCATCTAGCTTTGCTTTTAAAATAACAGCACAGTCTGCTTTTTCAGACAGTGGCGTGACATCTCTTCCTCTCCTGGTGTAAATTATTCATTACTTTCAATACCGTTCCGATATGTTTTATGTCTGAAAGGAAAAACAAAAAGAAAAAGCGAATCGGCTACAGGAAAAGGTTGAATTTACTACAAATGTCCGACCCGTGAGTGGGTTGTAAACACTTTTCTAATTGGCTGGATGAAACTATTTAGTGTATCTCCCATTCCACTATGCCTCCTTCTGTGATTGCCTGTTTATCCCGTGCTCTGCAGCGATGGTATCTTCCATCTCTCTTATTCCCCTCCACGTGTGGAGCAAATGGTGCTGGCAGTTCCGATGCCTTATCTGTTATTGGTGTCTTTGCGGCCATCAGTATGTTGCTATGGTTTACTCAGTCAGCCTGTGTGCGCTCCCTCCACCTCCCCCCACCCACCTGCCACTACTCCTCCATTCCTGACCCCTCCGTCCCCAACCCCCACCTCCACCCCCACCGGAGCGTCTGTGGTATGTTCGGAGCGTCTGAGCGTGGACGAGGCCCAGAGAGCTGCCAGAGCACCCCAGTTAGGCTGAGCGTCTGCACTGTGCAGGCCCTGTGGATAATTTGTATGAAAGGCAGACCAAGTGGAAACATAAATAACAGCCACAGCATCTGTTTACCCTGATGAGCTTCAGCGCTCAAAGAAGGGAGGGAGACGGGAAGATAACAGGAGAGAAAGAAAGAGAGCGAGAGAGAGAGAGAGAGCTGGGTTGGAAGAAGAGACGGGGGGTGGTGGCGGGTGATGGGGGGTCGTGAGATAGGAACAGAGAGGAAAAGATGAAAATAGGGCAGCATGAGAGAAGTGATGGGTAAAGAAATGGAATTGGAGACTCGCAAACATGGGGGAAAAAAAAAAAACACCCTGAAGATATCAGGGATGAAAAAAAAAAAAAAACGAGGCACAAATCAAGACACACATGGCGAGGTACGCTAATGAACGCCGAAATTCACACAGGATTCACACCGTATTCATACAAAGCCACACACACACACACACACACACACACACGCACACACGCACACACACACACACACACACACACACACACACACACACACACACACACACACACACACACACACACACACACACTCTTGCATAGGCAGCTGCGATGTTGAGTCGCTATGGAAACTGCTTCTCGCTAATAGAACTGCACCAGCCATTCCATCGCACCGACTGTTGCCGTGGTAACAAATTCCACTCACGTATTTGCACACCGCCTGCATCACCACCTGAATCTCAGGTTACACACGCACCGCCGGCGCGTCACTCGCAGCGGCGGATGGGCACGCGCGCGCGTGTCTGTGTTGAGGGAAATGCGGGGGGTCACGGATACACGCACGTGCATTAGTTTTTTTGTTTTGTTTTTTTTTCTCCCTAATTTATTGCGCGTCTTCTGTTAGAACATATATGTGTGACACGAGCCGGCTGGACATAAAATACACGCACACACACACACAAATATTTCAAGTCACACAGCCCAGCGCATGCAGCTCGTGTTCTTCTTCTTCTCTTTGGTGTATTCTGAGCGTCGGCTGATTTCCCAGAGGATATGTAAACAAGTTCAATTATCTTGACGTTACTAAGACAGTATGGAGGAGTGACGTAGGAGCTGGCCGTCATCAGCCTCACTCAGAGAGAGACGCTCAGAATGTAAATCAAAGCCGGAGAGGACGGGAGCCGAAGCAGTGGCCTGTGTCTCTACATCTTTAAAGAGCAAAATGATCAGCCTCCTAAAGACCGCCGAACTGTCAGGCTTTTGTCAGCGCAAAGCGGTCTGTAAAAGCCTTCTCTGGCTATTCATTATTGAACCGGAAAGCTCAATGAATTATCCCTCATTTTGTATGTATGTATATATATATATATATATATATATATATATATATATATATATATATATATATATATATATATTTAAATATCTTTATAAATAACTCCACTGAATGATTCAGCTGTCTATGTCCATTCAGTTTGTGCTTCTGACAAGTGAGCATAATTTTATTAATTAATTTATTTTTTTGTTTCTGCAAAGGTATGCAAATGTCCAAGGCCGTGTGTCCACTGTTTTCTCACAGGAAGCAGAAACTTTCCGTTGCAGCTCACCTGTACAGTTTTCTTCCTTCAGTCATGTTGTTTGTCAGCTGAGAGGTGGTGGCTGTCATGCAGTATGTGACTTTATTTATTTAGTATTTATGTATTGGGCTTTAATTTAATGTATTCATTGAAGAAGATGTCTCTGCATGCCTGATTCTTGTTTTACTCGTTCAACCAAACAATTCTATAGAGTATTAGCTACAGGACACCCTGCACCCAAACAGCTGCTGTTGCCCCACTGCTTGGTTGAAATACCCTAAATCACTTTCCATTTCTTAATTTGACTCAAGCATCCAGCTCTGATTAGCATAAAAGCTGCTGGAAGACCGTGTGTTCGTGTGCCGAAACCAAACAAAAAGTTATGTGTGGCACAGAAGAGTTGCCTTGTGTCACCAAAGAGAACGCCGAGCCCACTGGGGAACGTGTTGGTGGCGCTTTTTGGTGCCCGGCCAGTGAAAGTGTTAAGCGTTCCAAACACCACGCAGCTTTGACTCGAATCTGACGAGGAAGTAGCATTTTTTCAGCTGTGCAGTGAGTCAAAGCATGCGGCAAAATCTATAAAATAAAATGGGAAAAAAAAAAAAAAACACTGGTTCACCTAAAGAAAATGCAACTTTTAGAAAAACCAAACCAAACAAAAAAACTTTGTGGGGTCAGATGAAGAGGGCTGCTGGACCTCGTGTCAGATTTCCACTGACATGAGGAGGGAAGACGCCCATTGTTGTAAATATTACAGCTTTTGAGCTCCTCCTGCACAGCATCACGGCGCTCCGGTGCAGAGGCAAAAAGCAGGTTATCAAGCAGGGGAAATGTGTGGAAGTGAAACAGATGAAAACTTAAAGGTGGACATGATTCATTTCATTTGATCTGAACGATTATCAAAATGACTGAGCTTAAATAACTGAGCTGGTTATGCATTAACTGCATCAGCCCTGAGAAGCCTCGAGCAAAGGACAAGATCAGGTTAGAAATGACTGATTAACTCACATCTTGTGAGAGAAACCTAAGGAGGAATGTCTGAACTTGAAATGTTCATATTTAAATGGTACTTAAGAAGGTTTCACCCGATACTGAAAGTGCTTGTCGCTCGTTCTCCTTGGCCAGTCCTGTACCTGCATGCATTTCCTTTCTCCTTATGCCATTCTTCCTGTATAAAAATGGTCAAATAAAACATTATTCAACTCTTCAAACTCTGGAAACAAACTTATTTCCAAACTTTTTGTTGTATTTTCATTGTTTTAACTCCATTTTGCAGTTAAATATTCAGAATTTCCCCCCTAAGGCCATTTGGCAAGTTAAAGAGTAACAGCATGCTTTTATTGAGACTCATTTAGAAGCTGTTGGAAAATGGATGTTTTTATTAATGTTTTTCTCAAGACAAATTTGTTTAATTTTCTAAATGAGGAAGAAGCTTAATAAGTCTGGGTTTTGTTTTTTGATAATGTCATTGTTGCCTGCTTATGTTTTAATGGTATTACTCCACTTAGTTTATTTTCAGAAAAATCTTGCCATATCGGTTAATTTATTTATTTACTTATTTCTTGTATTCTCTCATGTTGATATTTCTCTCTCTTTTAACGGTTCTATAGGCTTAATTATTGCCTTAATTATTCACTTTCCTTCAGTTTCCATGTTTGTTTTCCAGCACAGCTGTTCCACATTCCCCTAATACAGCTCACCTGGATCCAATGTAAATCTTCAGTCTTACTTCACTACATAAGCTCACTGGTTTTCGTTGCTCATACTAAGTACTCTGCCCTTGCACCATTTTCTGTTCTCCTCATCTCAGATCAGTCAAGTTTCTTTTATCATTAATAAAACTTTTCTTTGCTTATTCCAAGTTCTCATCTGTATTTTGATGCTACTCTCTTGTACATGACATAAATGTGTTTTGAAAAGGTAAAGACTTTCTATAAGTTTTTGTTTTGCCACAAACCATAATAAACATGACAGAACGCATAGTGTAAGGTATTAGTGGTTAACGTCTCATTTGTTGGGTTAATCCTGAGTGGCGGCAAACTCTCGCTTTCGTCGCTCCCCGAGTGTCAATCCGCAGCTGCTGTGAACTAGGCAACGCTTTACGGGACAGAGGCTTTAAGATCAAAATAGGTAATGTGATTAATCTGCATCATGGAATATTAACGCCTTCAACTTTTCAGATTAATTGTGCGGGTTAACGTCGACGGCCCAGAAATGATCAAACAAAATGTACATTGAGTGAATTCCTTTGTTATAGACTACTTAAACTTTCAGTGTTTGGCCATTATTCAGTATTGCAGGCGGTTTTGTGACTGTGCTATAATAGTTTAAAAGGCAAAAAAACAACTCCCTGCCAAGCCTATTAGTACTTGTTTGTGTGCTCATACAACACACAGGTCAGACCAGTGTACTACACACACTGGTCTAGTTTCTAGTGCAAATATCTTAGTAAAATTAACAAGACATTTTCCTTAAAGCGAAATAATCAACAAATAAGCAACAACATTTTAATCAATATTAAGGAATTATTTCCTTAAAACAAGCTCCTATGTCTTGCTGAAAGATTACTTGCGAGGTAATTTTGTCTTATTTCAAGTGTATTAAGATATTTGCACAAGAAACTAGACCGAACATACTTGTGTGTTTTTGCAGTTCAAAGTCTAGTGTGATGTTTCACAAAATGCACTCAATTTCTTCTCATTTACACAGCAAAACACGTTATTGGCTACACCAGAAACAGAATGGCAGCAGAAAAAAAGATCTGCACGGGAGTCTCAACAGAAATGTTTGAACTATTCTTTTGGTGGCAGCAATCAAGGTGCTGAATGGTGGTGAGAATGAGGAAAATTTAACTCCCACTAAAAGTTTTTTTTTTTTAATCCTATGAATTTACATAAAAGTGTCAGTAGACGGGGTTTTAATTCAAAGCCACACAGACGAGCCCAAACCATTAACATCTGGCAATAATGCTAAACAAAAGATATTACATGCTTTGCTTAAGGCTTAATTAGTTTTAATCTTTAGTTGCGCTTCAAACATGGAAGTGGTTGAGTGACTGAAGGCAGAAAATGCGAGGTAACTGACCCAGTCTGAGACCTTTACAGCCAAAAATGAGCTCAGTGTCTTTCCAGCCTGCTTAAAAAACACTGACAGATTGTTCCCTCCTGTCCATACCACCTAGCCTGACACTACCCTCCTTGACTCCCATTCTTAAAGGTAATGTCTTACCTTCCTACCCAAAGTGCCCACTTTCTTCTTTTCCATTCCGCAGCTCCTCTCTCATTCATTTCCTTATGGTAATTTCCATTGATCCAGGTGTAAAAGACTGAAAGCTGAATTGGCACTTTTCTCTCGGCGCCCAAACATAAGCAATGCGGTTTCCTACAAACTGCTTTCAAATAAGATGCCTTTACAACAATGTTTGGGCCATCCAAAGCTCGGGCAATTAAGTAAGAGCTCAACTGCGGCCCGGCACCTCGCGATCCCGTCAAGATCCGTCAGCTGTGGGCATAAATGTCAAGCTCCACCGGTGTCCTTCTCCATCCACCCTCTCACTCTCTGTTTCTCCACATCCCTCTCACTTTCAAGGCTCTATAAATGTCATTTCATCATGCACTTGTCTTCATTATGAGTGCTTTTTCACCTCTTTCCATTCTTTGTTGCCCTCCCCAGTGTTCAGATTTTTCCCTTTTCTCTTCCAGCCCCCCTCACCCCACTGTCTCATCATCCCGTTCCTTTTTTCTACAGTTCTTCGCGAGTCCCTCCCTCTCTTTTTTCACCGTTAAGGAATCGCAAAATTGGATTAGCTCGCGCTGGCTCCTTTTTGTCTCTTTTCAAAGCACGGCTGTTAGCGACTCCTGGAAAAAGACAGTTCGACGCCCAAATAGAAGATGAAACCGGACAGTGATACGAAAAGTACAGAACATGTCTAGAGAAGAACAAGCGATGTGTTGAAGTTGAAAAAATATGTGCACATGCACCATGCCCTAGATGAAAAATGGCGGCGGCAGCATCATGCTGTTGGGACACCTTTCTTCAGCAGTTACAGAGAAGCCAGTCGGTTTATGGGAAGATAGATGAAACAAAAATAAAGAAGAATAAATAATGAAAACGTATTAAATTGAAAGCTTTTCCACGTGTTAAAATGGCCAAGTCAAAGTCACATTCTGAATCTGTTGCAAGACCATAAAATTACTGTTCGCTCCATTAGCAGTCTGATCAGGCTTGCGTTAGCAAAAAGTAATGGTGCGCAGTGATGCAAGCCTGATGCAGACGTACCACCAAAAGATTTGCAGCTGTCTTTGCATCGAAAGGTGGCCTAGTACAGCATTGATTGACTTTGTTTTGGTTGGATATGAATGCACAACATTTTAAGATTTGTAATTTTTGGAGAAGCTTAAGAAATCAAGGTGTAAACTTTGCTCCCACTTCCACTCATTTATGCTAGTTTTTGCCAACAAAATTCCGGAATTGATGACTGTGACAAGGAAAAAGTGGGAAAAAATAAGAAAACAACAACAACAACAAAACAAAAACAAGGCACTTTATTACTGATGAATGAAAACAACAACAAAGGCGGATGGCCTTTGTTTCCATGCAGTTGGATAGATACAGTGACACACGGAGAGATTTTTGCTGCATCGATGAAAAGCAGACATTAGACTTGAAAGCATAAAGCAGCAAAAAAAAAAAAAAAGGATTTACTATCCCACATAAATGTCGGTCTGGGCAAAGACAACATGGAGGACAATAATCAAGCAGAACATTTTATGAAAACTTTGGTGGCAGAGTAAAAGCACAGGTGACTAAGGAGCGAATATTGATTTTTGAGAGATGCATCACAGAGGGCAGCAAGAACATCAGCGTGTGGCTGATCAGCCACATAGCAACCGAGAAAGGAGAGTAAATTAGCTTCCTGTGCAAGTGCCCAAAAAGCAGCAGTTGTGACGAGCAGGGAATGACGAACAACTGTTTTGCGGGTAGCTTTTATTTATCCGAATGCGTGCTCGTCAAAGAGAGTGGCCGATTTGCCTCCTAATCAAAGCAGTTAAGGGTGGACAATGTGATGTGCACATAGACTGATGATTAATGAAGCAAATGCAAATGGCACATTTCCCATGGCCCTGTTGAAAAATAATAAATAAAAGAGCATAAGGAGAAGGAAACATGCAAGTAAAATACCTTCATCCCTTGGTCTGTTCATGGTGGACTCATCATTTTTTTTTGTGAGCGGACCTGAAGTTTGAAAAAAGGAGACAAAAGACAAAATTTCAAAAAGACAAGCAGGAAAAGCAGTGTGATCTAAACTTCAATCAGACTAGAGTCATTGCTTTTTTGTATAATTCTCCCCCAACCCCCCAAAAAATAAGAACAAAACATTTGGCAGAAGCAAGCCAACTCGGGAAGAAGCAAACACCTGCTAAGATGCAACACACTGACTTAAACCAAAACACTCCTCTCACTAAAATCAATAAATGCTGAAAAGCTTAATTTTGTGCTGCAACAAACGCTATCCAGAAAGGGAAGTTTGAGAAATTGCGAGGGAACCGCCGAACAGTGGGCTGGCTTTGATATGAACACACCCGGCTAAGCCTTTTGACAAGATTTCCCACATCAAGGTCAGAGAGGAGCCTCGAATTAAGCTTTAATGGTAACAACAGTTAACTGCTCCATAGGGCAAAGCCAGTAACAAGCATTTATCGCAGTGACCAACCAATGCCCTGCTGTGTCAACCTCTGTTAGCCCTAAGTGATAAAGATCCTATTAGTTTCTTTTGTTCTTTTGTTTTTTTCGGTTGGTTTCAGTCAGAGGCGATTTCCATCAGCAAACAATTAAGCCACTGCGTTTTGTGTCATGCTCTGCTACTGTCCACATGACATGTAAAGGTCATTAAACCCATCTATGCTTCATACACATCTAATGTTGATGCGGCTGTGGATGGGAACATGGTGGATGTGATCAGTATATATAAAGTACCTGGCCAAAAGTATTCACACTATTTGAACTTTTACCACTCAAGAAAACACAACTTCAATGCGTTTTGTTGGGATTTTATGCGGCAGATCAACACAAAGTAGTACATGACTATGAAGAGGTGGGTTAGAGAACATTCATGAACAGACAGCGTCGTGAGTGATAAGGGACATGGCAGACGGATCAGGGACTCTGGCGCCACAACGCCATAAGTCTAAAATCTCACTTTTATGAATTGGTGGCAAGAAGAAAGCCATTGTTGAAAGAAAACCATATGAAGCCTCGTCTCCAATTTGCCAAGAGCCACAAAGAGAACAGGGAAAAGCCAGAAGAGCTCTTAAACCTACATGGAAATGGTCTGTGTGGCTAAAGACTTAAAGGGCTTCCACTCCAAAAACAGCATTCACTGAGCTTCATGTCCACCCTGGGGAAATAAACAAACAAACAAAAAAAACAACAATACAGATGGCGCTACACTGGAGCACTCATTTGCACTAGTCCACAGCTGAGTAGTGCAAATGAGGGAAAGTTTTATTTTTTTCTCATATAAGTGGATGCGGCTATGTTTTATTTGCAAATCTGCGTTTTTTTTCTTGCGTTTTAAAACCAACAGCAGAAGTAAATCTTACATGGTGCGTCAGGAGGAACGGAAAAAAACAGAGTGGAAATTTTGACGAGATCGAATGATTCAAGGCGCTCTGCTTCCACATTGAGTGGCTGCCTTTGGCTCATTCCAGAGCAGTTTGACAGATATCCTGTCTCCATTGGTTGAACAAGTATCCGTCACAGTGCACCGCGGTTAAAGGCTTAACAAATTACAACTTTGACCTGAGCACAATACAAGCTCCACCAAGCTCTTTGTATTTTTGTAAATTTTGTCTTCAAGCTTCTTGTTAGAAAACAGTAAGTTGTGCAAAAAGTACTGAAGAAATATTGAACAGTTAGAAATGCGCTTTCAAAAATTTAGAAAAGGTTACATGAAGTTTGCCTTTCAGCACTGTAGTGCAGTCACTCTTGAAGTGTCACTGAAAGTTGAATATTCAGCGCACAATTTAGGTTTGTGACTGTAATTGGAATGTTTAAGGGATATGAATACTTTTGCAAGGTGCTCTGTTACCACTGTCTGTCATGTGTTCATGTTATCCTCAAACCCACAAAAGAAAAAAACATGTCATTTTTTCTCCATTGGGGGAAGATTTTCAGTCCTTCACTTTAAAAAACAAACAAAAAAAAAACACTGTATTTTGGTTACCAAGAGGTTTATCACTCCTTCAATGGACTGCTGACATCTCTGCTTCCACCCCATTGCAGGAAACTTCACAGTGAGGCGTTGGCATGTACCCTTTTCACAGTGTTGCGCATCTATTGACAAGGGAGTTTGCGAGACTTCAGCCCCTTCCACCGTTGTATCCCTGCATTCTCACTCATCCATCTGTATGAATATGGTTTCCTGATGTAAAGTGTTTATCTTCCTCCATAATGGGTACAGATCAATGCTGAGCAGATTAGCTGCATCTTTCAGCACCACCATGCAGGCGCCTGAACCAGACAGCACTTACTTCCATAGCAGGAGATGGTACAGCCATAGGTCCCGGGCAAGAAAAAAACTGTTACGGCAGCCTGGTAATGGATCCAAAGGCCCATTAGTCCACTGGATTCTCAGCGATCGCTCGCTACTTAGCACCACTCTAAAACCACACCTTTCTGCTTAATGGAGACAACTCTGGTTACAGTTCAATTCCCATTCCTTCTTAAGGAGGGAAACTATATCTCAGGATGGAGCACCACTCAGCTAGTGACATCCTGTAACGGAGAATGAGATCAAATTGTCGGACTTCATGAGATGTGACCCAAGCCAAGATTTTCTGCAGAGTTTTGGGAATATTTTTTTGTGGCAAACCACCCTTAAATTGAAGTGATTACATGATATCAGATTTGCCCCTCAAAAAATATTTGATTGCAAGTTTGCACACTCCACATTAACAATCAAACTAAAATGAAAACTGTTCACATGGATTTTTGGCTAACTCGTTTTCAAGAATTCTCTCAATAATTTAAGTTTCTTAGCCGCCGCTTGGCCACCATATTGAAAATAATGTGTCTCTTCTTTACCCATTTCTGTGTTGCCTTGGGGCTTTGGATAACATTCACGTTGTGAGACCCATCCACAGACCATCTTCAGTATTCTGGATGAGGGAAGATTTTCACTCAAGATATTCAGTCCCCCCCCCTCTATTGGCTGATCATTGTGCTAACCCAAACCCCACACACTTAGCTAAAAGGATAACGTTCCCACATCTGAGCGTATTTCTATTCCTCCAGGAATAGCAGGTTAACTAAATGCCTATCACATTCTCCCAATCCTTTGAATCATTTAAATATTCACTGGTAAACCTGAGGCGAGTCTGTAGAAATAGCTTCTATTTCAATCCACTGCAGTTCAGTGTGTTACTAATTGTGCCTTTGATTAATGCGCTCCTAGGTGCCTTCAGACCATTAACAAGCTCCTCCTAGTTAGTTGTGACCTGATCTCTTCCTTTCCCTCCACTCCGTCCTCACCCCACAAGGATGGATCTTACGTGAAGCTCCAGGCTGAGCGAGACTGCCTGCTGTTCGTTTTACATTTCTCCGATTTTAAATGGTATTAGCAACAGTTGTCACTTTCTCCCTCTTGTCAGGCTCTGACAGCTCTTGGGCTTTGCCTCTGTTGTCGGAGAGGTCGCAAGGGAAGACATTGATTTCCCGCACACTTGTGCTTAATAAACATAACTGATTGAGGTAAAAAGTATCTGTAACAGATTGAGTGATTGATTTTTGTGAAGATAACCAATCTGTGGGAGACAAAAACTGACTGGGTTGTGGGACAATAACTAATTACTTTGCAAAACGACAGGCAATCAATTTTTAATTTCCATGTAATGGGTATATCCTCAATGAAATCAAACTACTACACAAATCTGATCAATTTTTTTTCCTTTACAAGTGAGTAAACCTGGAATATAAACAACAGATGAAATGGTTACCACGCCCCACCCCATATTTGGGACTTTCTAAAATAAAGGTCTGACTGCAGAGGGTATAAGCAGTTGATATTTGAACTGCAAACAATAACTCTCTTTTGATCTTCTTTCTGTAACAAGTACAGGATGAGATTTTCCCTAAGGGTTTAGCAAACTACTACTCTGAGGAAGATCTTCCTGTTTTACAAAAATGTAGGAGCATTTCATGTAAGCATCATCAGTAAATTTGTTTTGGGTGAGCGGCTACATGCACATAAATCTGTGACCTTGTGCCTAAAACAAGGTTTTTGACCACATAAAACTGATGTTTTTTATCGCAGAAATGACTCTGACTGAAAACACTGGATGTGTTATTTTATTTTTTTAAATTTCAGTCTGTTTTCAAGACATTAGCATCAATATAGAGGATAGAGAACCATGGTCTGCAAATAAATTGTGAATAACTATATAGCCATGCCAGTAATGGTATGATGATGTAAATATAGCATTGCTATAACAGGGTTGTGAAAAAGTATGTGCATTATTAGCTATAAATTTTAGAGGTTGGTAATGCTTTAAGATGATATAAATTCTCTATTGTCTTTTCTCCAATTGGACTAGCTGGGATAAACTAATGAGTACTTCTGTGACCTGTACAAGTCATCTAAACTGTTGAAATGTAATCTTTAACAGAAGTTGATTATCTAAAGTAGATCAGGTGGATCTGCCTTCTGGTACATAAAACATACGTGTTCATATTTCCCAGAAACAAATATGCACATTTATTGCCAATGAAAGATTGGCAATAAACCATTTTTGTATGTACTTTCATACACTCCTATCCACTATTCACTTTCAGGTATTAAAAATCTGGATTTATTTCCAGATTGGACTGGGAGGGTTGAGCAGGTTTTTTTTTTTTTTTCTTTCTCCTTTGGTTTGCTGCCTCTGAGGTTGTATATAACTCTTTTCAAGATCACTCTGGTCTCACAGAAATTTATGAAATGACCACAATCTCTAATCATTCTGGTGGAGCCACATGATGTGTTGAAATTACTTTGGTCTCCTGTGGAAAGCAAACCTCCGCCGCATTACCTTGGTTTCTAGTGTAACAGGTTCTTGCTTCAAACACAAGCTTGACAGCTTTCACAAAAAGGTCAAAGATGTTCTAAAAAAAACTGTTTAAACAACTGAAAAAAAACATCTAATTGTTTTCAGTTTAAGTTGTAATACAGATATATTAGTTGACTCTGACTTTAAGGA